CAGGCTCCACCCGAGGAGAATGGCGGTTTGCAGGAGGACAGCATGGCACATGCGAAAGCCACAAGAGGGCACATTCAGGGAAGGGCAAGCCACCCCTGGGGTCAGAACAGGAGCAAGGGGGTGAGCTGGAGTGGGGGCAGTCGCAGCTAAAAGAGTGGGCAGAGGCCGAAGCAGGCAGGGCCTCAAATGCCATCCCAAGGGAGCCAGAACCACAGAAGGTTCTAAGGAGGATTAGACCAGTCAGGACCAGAAAGCCCTCTGGCTGCACCTTGGAGGATGCACTGGAAGACGGAGAGGGGACGCTGGGTCAGACCAGATACGATCAGAGAAGGAGGCTTGGAGTCAGCCAACGGGACGGGCTCACGCTCCCGGGCACAGCAGCGGCTGCCTCTGCACGAGGCGTGGCATGAGCTGCGTGCGGCCTTCCCCACTGGGCAGCCAGGTGAGGCATCCCCCATGCCCTGCTTACGTGAAGTGCAGGAAGGACCTCAGGACCCTGCAATGTTCTTTACTTGATGCCACTGTGGTTCTGCCTCCCACCTTCGGCGTGTGCTTGGAAACAGTGTCGTAAGTCAAAGCCACAGACATGCTAGAGACACGAGCCAGGGTTGGCAGAAAGTCATCTATTCCCTCCACAGAGGTGGACAGAGCACCTACTGTGCGCTAGGCACCCCTTGCCAGCAGCTGGGGACACCACCCGGTCCCCGCCTTCACGGAGCCTTCTGGAAGACGGGGAAGACAAATGCACAACACGGGTCAGTGGGACCCGCAGCCTGCTGTCAGCACCATGAGGAAGTGTCTCTAGGAAGACTGGCAGGGAACGCAGGCCGGCATCAGGGAAGGCCTCTCTGAGGAAGGCACACGTAAGCTGCAGGTTAAGCAACATTCCGGCCTTAGGTGCAAAGCACATGCAAAGGGCCTGAGGCAGCAAAGAGCTTGGCAGTGTGGCTGGCGGGAAGTGAGCAAGGGGGGAATGACTCAAAGTCAGGCTGGAGACCGATGCAAGGACTGGATCATGCACGGCCTCAAAAGGCGCGGTGAGGATTTGGAGGGCTCAGCCGAAGTGCAAAGGAAGCCAGAAAGGGTCTACACAGAGGCTGAAAGATCACCCCGGCTGCTGATCAGCCCCAGGGAGAGCTGGATGGACGCTGGGAGACCAGCAGAGGGGAGAGGCGAGGACAGTGGCTCAGCTGGAACCGAGGCGGAGGAGAAGGAGGGAGGTAAGGCCCACGGCGGGGTATTGTGGCAGAGCTGAGGAATCAGGAAACCAGGGCTTGGCTGCCAGCTGTGTGACCTTGGGCAAGTCACTCGCCCTCTCTGCAAGAGGAAGACACGTGTGCCTGGCAGGACTGGCTGCGGAGGATCCCGGGAGCCTCACAGATGCTGCGCGGGCCTTTGCCTCCCGCACGGGCCTGGGTCCTCGGCACGGCCCTGGCAAGAGCCGCGTCCGAGACGGCACGACCGAGCTCCGTGTTTCCGCGCCATGGCCTCGGGCTGCTCACCAAGACAACAGCTCCGTGTGCGCCGCAGGGCAGGGCTGTGTCAACTCAGACGGTCAGCTCCAAGCAACACGGCAAGGAACCACGCAGGGGCCAGAAGACCGGGTTTCTTGGCCTGGCGGGGCCATGACAGGCCATGTAACCTTGGCCAAGCCCTTCCCCTTCTCTCCGGGCCTCAGTTTCCATATTTGTAAAATGAGGGGGGACTGAGCTCAGCAATCTCTGGGGACCTGTCTCAACCATCACCTTTACCCTTTAGGTTCGACACAAACTGGAGAAGAGGTGACCACCTGAGGCGACACGACGGGCCCGGCCTCCCAGGCGGTGTGCACGGGACCCCGGCGCGTGCCCCCCTCACAGACACACTCCCCGGGCAGCCCCGGGGCACCAGGCCCTGGCAGGTGCTCACCCACCCGCCCCAGAAGCAGCGCAGAGACCCCCGACCGCGCCAAATAAGAGGCAGCACTCGGCACGCTGGGGCTGGCCCGCGGAGCTTTATTGCCGTCCCGGAGGGGGCTGGGAAAGCAACAGGAGGGACCCCCCGAGGCCGCAAGCGCCTGCTCAGAGCTCTGCAGACACAAAGATGAAAAGCTTGGCCACAAAGGAGCTGACGGTGCCGTGGCGGTAAAGGTCCATCTTGACGGTCAGGAGCAAGTCCCTGGGCTCGGGGACAGGCTTGGTGAGGGCCACCACCCCGCTGTGGTGGCTCACCTTCCGGGTGGTGAAAAAGCCCTCCTCATTGCCGCCGGTGATGGCCAGCTGCATGCTGTCCCCGGGGACGGCACTGGAGGGGCCCATGCGGAACACCACCGCGGGCACTTGGATGTTGGTGGGGAAAGAGAGGTGGTAGTAGGTTATTCTCAGAGGCAGCTTGGAGCACTCCCGATTCTCATGGCAAGGCAAGCGCTCACAGCGGCTGCAAGAAAAGTGGGCAGAGAGACAAGAAGAGGGTTAGGGCCGACTCAGCAAGCGGAGAAACGGCAGAGCGCGGGCGGGGAAGCAGGGGCTCGCGGGGTGGGGCCTCCCGCCGCCCCTTGCGGTTCGGCCCCCGCCTAGAGCACCCCTCACTCACCTGGGGGAGGCGCCGTGGACCTCCGAGCGCCGACTCACGCTCTAGCCTCCTCCAGCACCCAGTGGGGCTCGGGGCGGCTGGGGTCAGTGGCTGTGCCCGGAGCGGGGGAGCCCCCTTCTCCCTGGCAGGACCCGCCCGGGAGCACTCAGCAGGCACGCCCTGCCCTCTGGGTGTCGTCAGGCTCCTGGGCCCTTGCCCAGACAGGGGCCAGGGCCACACAGGCTCTTGGGTGGGTCTCAGAGACCACCCTGGGGTGACTGTGTCCGTCACTAGCAATCAAGGCTGCTGCTGTTCCCCGAGCGCCCGGCTAGTCCTCGTCACGCATTCTCTAGTGTGGTCACGACAACTGCACTGTGACGGTGGCTTGTGTGCCATTTTCAGACAAGGAAGCTGAGGCTCAGAGAGTGTGGCCTTCCCGCTTCCCAAGTCACTCACAGAGGGAGGGAGGAAACCAGATCTGTGCTCAGGCAGTGAGGCCTGCTCCCCGGGCCCCGTCACTAAGCCCTGTGCTCCAGGCCCCGTTTCCCGTCTGTGTTCCAGGGCCAGCTCAGAGCTGGCAATGGAGATGGGGCAGGTCCCAGCTTCCTGTGGTGGGGATGGGGACAGGTCCTAACTTCCTCTGATGGAGACAGGGGACAGGTCCTAACTTTCTGTGACAGGGTGGCAGCAGGTCCCAACTTCCTGTGGTGGAGACGAGGACGGGTCCCAACTTCCTGTGACAGGGTGGAGGGCAGGTCCCAACTTCCTGTGATGGAGACAGGGACAGGTCCCAACTTCCTGTGATGGAGACAGGGATGGGGCCTGACTTCCTGTGATGGAGACAGGGACAGGTCCCAACTTCCTGTGATGGAGACAGGGACAGGTCCCAACTTCCTGTGATGGAGACAGGGACAGGTCCCAACTTCCTGTGATGGAGACAGGGATGGGGCCTGACTTCCTGTGGTGGAGCCCAAGACAGGTGCTAACTTCCTGGGACAGGATGAGGACAAGCCCTAACTTGTGACAGAGACAGGGACAGGTCCTAACTTCCTCACATAGGATGAGGACAAGCTATAACTTCTTGAGCTGGAAATGAGACAGTTTCCAACTTCGTGTGACAGGATGGGGACAGAGACTAATGTCCTGTGGCAGAGACAAGGACAGGTCCCAACTTCCCATGACAGGATGAGAGTAGGTCCTAACTTCCTGTGATGGAGACAGGGAGGGGGACTAACTTCCTGTGATGGAGATAGGGTGGGGGACTAACTTCCTGTGATGGAGACAGGGAGGGGGACTAACTTCCTGTGATGGAGACAGAGAGGGGGACTAACTTCCTGTGGTGGAGACAGGGAGGGGGACTAACTTCCTGTGGTGGAGACAGGGAGGGGGACTAACTTCCTGTGGTGGAGACGAGGACAGGTCCCAACTTCCTGTGACAGGATGAGAGCAGGTCCCAACTTCCTGTGATGGAGAAAGGGAGGGGGCCTAACTTCCTGTGGTGGAGATAAGGACCGGTCCCAACTTCCTGTGACAGGATGAGAACAGGTCCTAACTTCCCATGCTGGAGATGGGGACAGGTCCCAACTTCCTGTGACAGGATGAGAGCAGGTCCTAACTTCCTGTGGTGGAGATGGGGACAGGTCCCAACTTCCTGTGACAGGATGAGAACAGGTCCTAACTTCCCATGCTGGAGATAAGGACCGGTCCCAACTTCCTGTGACGGGATGAGAGCAGGTCCTAACTTCCCATGCTGGAGATGGGGACAGGTCCCAACTTCCTGTGACAGGATGAGAGCAGGTCCTAACTTCCTATGCTGGAGTCAGGGACAGGTCCCAACTTCCTGTGGTGGAGACAGGGAGGGGGCCTAACTTCCTGTGGTGGAGATGAGGACAGGTCCCAACTTCCTGTGACAGGATGAGAGCAGGTCCTAACTTCCTGTGGTGGAGATAAGGACCGGTCCCAACTTCCTGTGACAGGATGAGAGCAGGTCCTAACTTCCTGTGCTGGAGATGAGGACCGGTCCCAACAGATGGGGACGGGTCCCAACTTCCTGTGACAGGATGAGAGCAGGTCCTAACTTCCTGTGGTGGAGATGAGGATGGGTCCCAACTTCCTGTGACAGGATGAGAGCAGGTCCTAACTTCCCATGCTGGAGATGGGGACAGGTCCTAACTTCCTGTGGTGGAGACAGGGAGGGGGCCTAACTTCCTATGCTGGAGTCGGGGATGGGTCCCAACTTCCTGTGACAGGATGAGAGCAGGTCCTAACTTCCTATGCTGGAGTCAGGGACAGGTCCCAACTTCCTGTGACAGGACGAGAGCAGGTCCTAACTTCCTATGCTGGAATCAGGGACAGGTCCCAACTTCCTGTGACAGGATGAGAGCAGGTCCTAACTTCCTATGCTGGAGTCGGGGACAGGTCCCAACTTCCTGTGACAGGACGAGAGCAGGTCCTAACTTCCTATGCTGGAGTTGGGGGCAGGTCCCAACTTCCTGTGGTGGAGACAGGGGCAGGTCCTAACTTCCTCACATAGGATGAGGACAAACCATAACTTCCTGAGCTGGAGATGAGGCAGTTTCCAACTTCCTGTGACAGGATGGGGACAGGGACTAACGTCGTCCACGTCCTGAATTCCAGGCCCATCTACCCTGAAGGCGGCTGCCTTAGGCAGAGCCAGGGTGCAGAGCCCCACGGGACCTGGCGAGCACGTCCCAGGCAGCCCGGCCATCTTGACTGTGTTTGGGTTCCCCTGCAGGATAGGCAGCCATGTCCTGCCTCGCCACCACATCTCCCCTGGGGCTTGCTGACTGCCGAGCCTTGTGTGCTTAGACTTATTTTACACTTGGCATTTATCGTTTACGGGGTCTTCTCCCTCCAGACTATTTATCCGGATTGACAGGAAGCCTTTCGTTTACTTGGCTGTTACCACCCTGAGCCCTAGAACGACAGCCCTGGGGACGCGCCCCAGGGTGCCCAAGGCCTACAAGGGTCAGGAACGCCGACCAGGGCAGTCCTGCGTGGGACGGGCCCAGAGACAGAGGCGGGAAGGAAGGTGGGCACAGGTGCTGTGGGGCAGCCCACCCCCAGGGACACCCAGGCCCAGGCCAAACGGGAGTGCTCCTCATGTCCTAGCGCCCTCTCCCAGAGAGAGGTCTCCCGGGATCCAAGGAGGCTGTGGAGAACTGGGGTGGTGGCTGGGGTCCCCAAACTGTGCCTCTCCAGGGCGCGTGGCAGCACACGGTGGACGTCGGGGTTTCCCTCCCCGGCTCACTGCACTGTCTCCCGCAGCGCGCCCCATTCTCACAGGAAGCCGGAAGCTCAGCGAGCAGCACACGAGCCTGTCCGTGACCCCACAGTCCGTAGTCACTGGCAGGTCTGGCTTTCAAAGTCGGCCTGTCTCACTTCAAAGCCTTTACACACACACACACACACACACACACACACACACACACACACACAGATACACACATGCACACATACACACATACACACGCATACCCAGCTGCTTCGAGAATGGCCTGGGTGGCCTGGGCAGCAGGTGGCGCTAGAGTCCCCTGGCGGGACGGAGCTTCTCATGTCTGGCAGCGTGGCCTGTACTGACCAAGGGCGGGGTTCTGGCTTGCAGGTAGAAGCGTGGTCCGGGTGGCCTTTCCTAAGGTCACACACACTTCACCCTTGGTAAGAGGCACCACCAACCACCCGCGGACTTTCCCACCACCCTAAACTGCGTCCCTTCCTCGGTGGGGGAAGGACCTTGCCAGGCAAGGGCCGCGCGGTGTGCGAGACGTTCGGGTACAGCTCCTACGCCAGCGAGCTGGGCGGCCCTCCCTCGCCAGTCCTTCCTCGCGCCAGGAGTTTCTGGCCGGCTCCTTCTACACCACTGGTTTCCCCGGGGCAGCTCCTCAGCTCTTTACATTCATTTGGGGCTCTTCAGCCCCAGCACAGGGCTCAAGCCCTACTGCGTGCCTAGCAGATGATCGCTGCGCAAATAAACATGTCCTTGATCCTCCTGGTAGGTCCCAACTTCAATTCTCCCATCCTGCCCCACCCAAACTTACTCCCACAAATTGTAAACGCCGTAGCTGGCAAACCGCCTGTCAGACTGGAAACGGCGCGAAAATCTTTGTTAGCAGGGGTGTCTAGCTCGGGCACGAGCTGTCGTCACAGCAGAGCACAGGTGACCTTGCCCTGGCCCCTGCCTGGCTCCCAGGACCATGGGCTCTGGTTTCCACAGACATGCCTCCTCCTCATCGCGCCACGCATCCTGGGTCATGGCGTACATTAGAGAATGACGTGCCCCAGTTTCCCGGCTCAACATGTTTGACCATAACACCCCAAGTCTGTGAAATTGTCCCAAGCCGTAACACACCGGAGAAAAAGGCCCTAAGGCCTACTGCCTTCTCCAGGAGGCACAGCTGTTCTGGCCACCCCAGGCTGGCTGATGCTTGTGGCCGGCCCGCTGGCACTTCCCGACTGTCACATGCTCATCACTCTGGAGACAAGCCCAGGAACCGGCCAAGGCAGGGGGGCCTGAGGGCTCTGCCCCGCCCACTTTGTCACACCCTTGCTGCCCAGGCTGTTCCCTGTGTCCCCTCCCCGTGGAGTGGCAACCAAGACCACCCGGCTCCGCTCCGGCTTTCAAGACCACAACCATCAGGGGCCGGCCCCAGTAGGGCATAAAGAGGATGTTCCCGGTCCCATCAAAGGCTGCGGGACAGCCCTGAACACTTCTTCCTGTGGGAAGGAGGGACTCGTGTGGGCAGGGCTGCAGCAGCCCGGTCCTGTCCCCAAGGCCGAGTCCTGCGGTTTGCGGCCAGCCTGCTGGGTCACGCTCTAGTTACCGCCCTCGGCCGCCTCGGGCACGGCCCAGACGGAAGCCGTGCGCCGGAGAGGCCCGGCTAGACGGGACGAGGCAGAGCAGAGACTCCCAGATCCTGCCTGCCGAGACTAGGGGCTGCTCTCACCCAGTGTTAACCACAGAGGCGCTGGCCACTAGGTCCCTTCTAATTTTGGCTCTTTTAGGTTTTAGAAGTTGCTTTCTGAAAGTCAGACAGTAAATTCCCATAGAGGCTTGGATTTTTGAAGAGGAAGAAAAGCGGACACCAAATAGAAAAAACTCCAGCCTGCGGGGTAAGTAGGGCTGCAAGAGGGTGGCCCCTTCGCCCGGGCCTCTGGCCCGCGCCCCGCCCGTGTTGGCTTACCCCGAGCTGGCAAAGGAACAGTCCCCCTTTGTCAGTGACTTGTCACTGCGGCTCACGCTACAGCTCCCCCCGCCAGGACGGGGCAACCAGGATAAACCCCCCATGGTCCCTTCCCTGGGCACCGCGGCCCTGGTTCCACTTCCTACGCCTAACCCTGGCTCCCGGCCGGCCCGCACGTCCTCAACAGCGGCCAACTGATGAGAAAACAGTGACCAGAGGCCTCGAGGTGAACTCGGACACCGACAGAGTTCCTTCCTCATCGGCCTTGGGGAGCGGATGACCCCATACCGCAGGGCAAACCAGGCACCTGGCTGAGTGGAGGGCGGGGCGTGGTTTCTGTGCTGGACACACATTCACTGCCCCATGTCCACACTCCTGCCCCTGCCCACCACCACCCCCACCAGGTGGGCCTCCGCCCCCCAGCACCGGCCAGGCTCCAGTCACTGCCGTTTGCACGCACGCCTGGCGGCTAGCACGGGGTCGGGGGCCTCTGTGGGCTCACTGCCTACCCAGGTGTCTGCGCATAGTAGGTCCAGCAAGAAATAGTTTTCTCCAGCACTGAGCAGGTGGCAGAGGCTGCCACGCCGACACAGGTCTGCCCGTTTCAGCCAGGAGGACCTCACGGCGCAAGGCCAACCCACCCACTCTCGGGCATCGAGGCACCAAGACCCCCGTGGGGGCGGCCTCTTCTTTCGGTTTCGTGGCTGTGCGCCGGTTAGAAATCGAGGTCTCAACCACAGCCAGCCTTCTGGAATGCTCAAACCCAGATGCCAGCAAAGGCCTGGGAGGGAGTGAACTCACAATGACAAATGGCTACACAGCTTCAAAGCAAGGACACGGAACCTTCTCAGCGGCTCCGAGAGGCACTGCCACTGCCTGCCAGGCCGTTGCACAACCCTCTGCGAGCCCTCTGGGGTGCTCTGGACTTGCACACCCAAGCACAGGAAGAGAACAAGGTTTGGGGCTTCCAAGAGGCAAAAACACGCCGGGAAACAGGAGACGGGGGAGGCAGCCGGGCCGGCACACGAGCGGTCGCAGGCAGAACGTGGAGCGCTGCCGGGGAGGGGGGCCAGGGCTGCTTGGCCAGCTGCAGGCCGGATAGCCGCCCCTCGGGCTGAGCAGCAGACACCAGAATGCACCACACGGTCAAAAGACACTGACCCTCAGGCGGGGGCATCCACCTGCCAGAGCCCAAGGCAGGCTCCCGGTCAGCAGGCTGAGGCCTGGGAGACACGGGCAGCCGGGCTGGCTGCTGCTCCGGCAGGTCCAGCACCCCGGGGAGGGGCCCAGTCCACACTCCGGAGATCAGTCCCCAGCGTGGCCTTTTTCCTGAAACAACTGTCAGCGGCGCGAAGTGAAACTCACTGGATAAAATGAGGGGGGCGGGTGCCTGGTGTCCTCACGACACCCTGAGGAAGGTAGTTCCTGGACGCCCAAACTCCCAGGGCCTGGGAGGGCGCAAGCTTCCTACGACACAGGACCACACAGCCGAGAGTCAGAACGAGAGCCTTTGGTGCTGTTCCCAGCCACCGGCCAGACGGAACCCGGCTTTCTACAGGTTGCCTGACAACGCCCAGCAACACACACTGGCTCCCTGGCTTTCAGCCGACACAGAGACGCTGCTACCTGCTGCTACCTGAATGGCAGCATTTCCTGACATCTGCATGCTACAGGAGAGGAAACTGAGGCCCAGAGAGCTTGCCCAAGGTTCCACAGAGGAAACAAGAGGCCTGTGGTTTCTGCCTGGCCTGTGAGCGTGGCCGTAGATCCCAGACTCATTTGCACTCACTCCGTTGGCTTTCTGGGACCAGTGTCACTGACATTTAGGGGCCGGAGAACCAAGGACCAGGTGACCCCTGAGTGCCCAAGTCCCCCATGGCAGGGCACTGAGGTCACAGCTTGTTGGCTACCCACCCGGGCCTGGAGCCAGGCCACCAGGAAGGCCAACACAGACAGACGACGACAGCAGGGCCCGAGGGACTTACGTGTCTGCAGAGCGGCGGTAGTTCTCCGGGCACTCGAAGGCCAGGCAGCGGAAGCCACCCTGGATGTTGAAGCAGGTCTCGTTGATGGAGCAGTTGTGGATGCCGGTCACACACTCGTCAATGTCTGCAAGAGACCGAGAGCGGCACAGTGAAGGCCAAGGCCACAGGAGCCGTCCCCATCTGCAGACAGAGGCGCCCAGGCCCCCACTGGCCAGGGTCAGGGAGGGGATCGGGCCATCCTTGCCCTCCACTGGCCCATCTCTGAAGCAGCGCCCTAAGCCAGCTCTTTTATTTCTAAGATAAATATAAATTTTTTTTTTTTTGAGACAGAGTCTCAATCTATTTCCCAGGCTAGAGTGCCATGGCGTCAGCCTAGCTCACGGCAACCTCAAACTCCTGGGCTCAAGCGATCCTCCTGCCTCAGCCTCCCCAGTAGCTGGGACTACAGGCACGCGCCACCATGCCCGGCTAATTTTATATATATATATATATACATATATATATTTTTTTCAGTTGTCCCGCTGATTTCTTTCTATTTTTTTAGTAGAGACGGGGTCTCGGCTCTTGCTCAGGCTGGTCTCGAACTCCTGAGCTCAAATGATCCTCCCATCTCAGCCTCCCAAAGTGCTAGGATTACAGGCGTGAGCCACCACGACTGGCCTAGTCATAGAATAAATATAAATTTACATTCATGGAGCGTTTAACGTATTATTCACAATCCTTTCAATGAGTGTAGCAACTATAAGAGCAAACGCTGTACGAAGGGTCCCAGGAGCGCTTAGCAGGGGTAACTCACTCTTCCTAAGGAGTCAATGAGGCGATTACTGTTACAATCCTCATCTTAGGGAGGAACTCACAGAGCTTAGGGGACCTGGCCAAGGTCACTCATTTTGCAAGTGGCAGAGCAGAGCTGCAAACCCAGGCAGGCTGGCGCCAGAGTGCCCGCACTAACCACCCGGCCCCGGCCACGGCTCCCACGGCATGTGTCCTTTCCTCACATGACTTGTGACATCCTAGGAGGGAAAGGGCAGAAGCTACTAGCTCCATGTCACAACAAGGACACCAGGATTAAAGGAATTGTATGTCCTGCCCTGTACCCTGGGGACCAGAACCAGGCCCAGGACCCCTGCTATGGGGCTGGGGGTGGCCTTACCAAGAGGCCTCAGAGATGGCCAGCCACCCCCTTTCCCACAGATGCACCAGGGCAGCCAAATTCTGGGGCTCAGGGGACGTCACCAAGCCTGGGAGGCACCCGTTAAGAGGTGCCAGATGCCTGATGGTCGGTGGTGAAAACAGCACTGCCGAATCTCAAAGGCCACGGCTCAGGAATGTGTTTTTGCCCTGTCTGGGCAGGACCCCAAGCTGTGGCAAAGGAGCCTGGCCAGGAGAAGGGAAGTCATTTGCTCCGGCAGAAACTCGAAAACAACAAAGGGACTTCGATCCAGAGCTCCTCGCACAAGCCGAGCGGGTCCCTTCCAGGGAACACCGCAGGTCCTGCCTGCCTCTGGCCGAAGCCACCTTCTTCATGTCCAGAAACTGCAGCTGCAGAACCCAGGGGGCCCCGGAGCCTGTGATGGACAGACGCCCCCGCGATCTGGCTCCTGGGGCCAGCGTGTGCACCGAGGGTCACTCGCACACAGACGCCTACCTAGCACCCCTCTCCGTGGTCACGTGGACAGTCACAGGACGCACGGTGCCCCCAGAGTGTTCTTAGGAACGGAGGCTGAGCGCAGTGTGGATGCCACTGGCTCTATCGCATAGCCCATGCTGGAGCTGACCCCACGGCCATGAGTGTCCCCAACCAGACCACACCCCTCTCCTTGCCCGGACAGTGGCCAGCACCTGGGACAAAGGCCCCCGCTATGTGCTCAGGGGCCGGACCAGAGCAAGAGTTTGTCAAATGACCGGATCAAAGACGAACAAGCAGCTCTCTGCTGGGGACATGGATTTCCTAGGCACTGACCCATTTCCTCCCTGGGGGCCAGAGGGGGGGCATCTTCCTAAAGGCTGTCAGCCCCTGCTCTAGCCTTCTCAGGCTGCCGAGGGCATAGTAGTGGGAGGGCTCAGGGGTTCCGCCCGACAACGCCTTCGTGGGGCTCAGACACCCAAAGACAGGTGCGCTGGGGCCTGGGTGTAGGAGACGGGGCTACGCGTGGACCCCAAGACACGCCTTGGAGGGCGAGGCCTCTTTTCCCCAAACGCACGCTCTCTCTGCTGCAGCCCCTGGGTCCGGGAAGCACATGCCCAGCCTGGCCTCAGCCCCCCGACACTGCAGAGCCCCAAGCACAGCCTGAGCGACCTCGGCGGGGTCCCACCTGCTCACCTTGGCAGTTGCGGCCGTTGGGGGCCAGCCTGTAGCCGGACGAGGGGCAGCTGCACTGGAAGCTGCCGGGGATGTTGATGCAGCGGTAGGAGCAGATGTGGCCCCCCGTGGGCAGGGCACACTCGTCGATGTCTGCAACGGCAAGGCCCACCTCAGCATCCCCATCCCGGCACACGGCCACCGCCGCCTGCTTGTGTCCCCCCAGGGGTGGGGCTGGGGGCTGGGAGGGCAGCGTCACGTGGCCAGCTGGACACAGGGGGCCTCAGAGTGCTGGGGCTAGGGGCGGCCTCAGGGACCATCATGTCAGAAGGGGAAACTGAGGCCCGGAGGGGCGATGGGACTAGGCTAGGTTCACTCGGCAAGTTCATGGTGTGCAGTATGCACGTGTGTTTGTGCATGGGTGGGAACGGAGAGCAATTCACCGATAAAAGACCCACCCTACGTGGAAACAGTGACAATCCTAGCAACAGCTGCCCTCTAAAGCACCTACTGCGAGGCAGGCACCGTAAGGCACGTTTTTGAGCCATCACCTGGGTCACAGAGGAGGAGGCAGAGCTGCGGGTCAGGGACGGAGTGGTCCCCAAGCCCCCTCCTCACCTCTCAGACACGGGCGGCCACCAAGCCCTGAGAGGTGCAAGCCCAAGGTCCCAGTACACGTAGCAATCACCATCATGGTATGTTTGTTTATGAAAGAACGATCCGGAAGAGGCTTGCTCCCTTCCTGACCCCACTCCCAAGGAGAGTGAAGTGTACTCAAACAAATCTCAGTTGGAGGGAAAACAGCGAGGCACCCGCCAGCCTCCAAGGGTGTAACGGAAGGTTCACCAGGGGAGAGACCCCCCGCCAGCTCTGAAATGCAGAGCCCGAGGCTGCCGCGTCAGGGCCAGGCCGGGGCTGCCGCCCCCACGCTGAGCAAGGGCCCCCTCACCTTCGCAGGTGACCCCATCCACGTCGCTGAGCTGGTAGCCTCGCCGGCAGTAGCACTGGTAGGAGCCGTAGACGTTGGCGCACTCCTGGCTACAGGGGCTGCTGTTGCACTCGTTGATGTCTGAAAGAGGGGGGGGGGCCAGAGGTCACCGCTCAGGGCCACGCCACACGCCCCCGACGGACCGCGGCCCTCGTGCCCACGGCAGCAGGGACAGCGATGAGAACACCCCGTCCGCCTCCCTCCGGTTCACACACGCGGAGAGGCGGGGGCCGGGGGTGGGGGGCCGAGGCAGAGCCCCCACGGCTGCTGAGTCTGTTCTCTCTCCATCCCTGCCCCTGCCTGCTTCCCCAGCTCCCCCAGGGCGACCGATCAGCCTCCAGCCTCCGCCTTCTAATCCCGCCCCCACCCGGCCGCCAGAGTGCGTTCCCGTTCTCGGGTGGAAATCTGGTTCTGTCCTCCCACTTCGGCTCCCCGACGGCGTCCTGCACAGATGGCGGCACACGAGGAAGGGCCCCGGTGGCCTGGCCCGTACGCCAACGCTCCCCAAACGCCGACGCTGAACTCACTGGGCTCTCAGCAACTCTGACTACCCCCAGCTGCCTCCTTTGCCTGGCGCAGGGTCAGCAAACTGTGGCCCACAAGCCAAATCTGGCCTGCGGCTTGTTTTACAAATAAAGTTTTATTGTCACACAGCCGTGCTCATGTTTTTTTTGTTTTTGTTTTTTTCTAAAGACAGAGTCTCACTCTGTTGCCTTGGCTAGAGTGCTGTGGCGTCAGCCTTGCTCACAGCAACCTCCGACTCCTGAGCTCAAGCAATCCTCCTGCCTCAGCCTCCCAAGTAGCTGGGACTACAGGCATGCGCCACCATGCCCAGCTAATTTTTTCTACATACATATTTTTTAGTTGGCCAATTAATTTCTATTTTTAGTAGAGACAGGGTCTCACTCTTGCTCAGTCTGGTTTCGAGCTCCTGACCTTGAGCCTTCCTCGGCCTCCCAGAGGGCTAGGATGACAGGTGTGAGCCACCGCGCCCGGCCCGTGCCCATTCTTTACTGTGGTTCTCTGGCTGCTTTTGTGCCACCACAGCGGAGTTGAAAGGCTGTAACAGAGACTGGCTGGCAAAGCCTAAAATACTTACTTTGAAAGAAAAAACTTGCAAATCCCTGGCCTGAGGGTCCCCTCACACATTTATTTGGTGCTTTTAGCAGGGCAGGAGGGAGAGTCCATGAGCCTTCCACCCCGGGTTCTAGCTCTGTGGCCCCACACACCTGGCCTGGCCTCTACCTGCTCACCTCCGCCCAGCGTGGCTTCTCACCCCAGCCCAGGGACACTCCCCGACGCAGGCACCGAGTCCTCACCACCCACCCGGGGCAAGTGCTCGAGAGACAACGGAGTCACAGGGCAAGGTCGGCCGGGCCCCGGCTGTGTGTCCATGACACTGTGTGTCCATCACACCACCCACTCACCAGGAGTGACCAGGGACACACAAGCCAGGAAGGCCATTAACACTACTACTACTGCGCTCGAATGTTTGCAGCAGCACAGTTCACAACTGCAAAGCTGTGGAAACAACCCAAGTGCCCATCAGTTCATGAGTGGATTAATAAAATATGGTACATGTACACCATGGAGTACTACTCAGCTTTAAGAAACAACGGCGATATAGCTCCTCTTGTATTTTCCTGGATAGAGCTGGAACCCATTCTACTAAGTGAAGTATCTCAAGAATGGAAAAACCAGCACCACATGGACTCACCAGCAAACTGGTATTAACGGATCAGCACCTAAGTGGACATATAGGAGTAACATTCATTGGGTGTCGGGCAGGTGGGGGGGGAGGAGGGGATGGGTGTATACAACCAAATGAGTAAGATGTGCAACGTCTGGGGGATGGACACGCTTGAAGCTGTTACTCTAGGATGGAAGGGGGCATGGCCAATATATGTAACCTTAACACTTGTACCCTCATAATACACTAAAATGAAAAAAAAAAAAAAAAAACACTACTACTAACAACAATTCTAGCACGTCTGTGTTGCCATGTCTTTGTCGGACACCCAGCCCGGGGACAAGCTCTGCACATGCTTGCTTCATCTCATCTCATCTCATCACACAGCCCCTATGGGGCTGGGCCTACTGCACCCATTTTACTGGTGAGGACACTGAGGCCCACAAGTGCTGAGTTACTTCTTTAAGGCCACACAAATGGCAGAAGAGAGAAGACCTGAATACAGGCCTGAGACCAGGGAGGCCGAGGGCCCAGGGCCCTACCGCCCCACGCACCCTCCAGTGTGGGAACCACGAGCACGGCAGCACACGCTGGCACAGCCGACTCTTGTGACCATCTCCCCGGCGAGGGCTCCTTCTTAACCCAGAATTTTAAGACCTGTCACATCTTGGGTCCGGCTCCAGAAGCCGCCCTCTGGGCCAGCGCACCACGCCAGGCAGAGCAAGGAGGGCAAGGGGACGCCGCCAAAGCTCTCTTTCTGCCGTGCTCAGAACCCAATCCCCGTCCAAGATGAGGCACCTGCAGGCACCTAGTGACACCTGCAGGCACCTGCAGGCACCCCAGGCTGCACGTGCTGCCCATGTGACCCTGGCACGTCCCGTCGGCCAGGAGGCCGGTGGTGCTACCTGAGAACCGCGTGAATGGCCGCCCAGCCCCCACACCAGCGACCTGCCCCAACTTCACCACGGCTTCCACCGGCCCAAAACCATGTCCCTAAGACGGGGCCCCCAGCCCCCTTAAACCGCCTGCCCGAGGAAGCTCGACACTGCCAAAATATCTACTCTTGGTTCCGGCCCGGACCTGGCCACAGGCCCCAACTCCCTCTATCTTAGAAGCATCTACTCTGGAACAACTTGCAAATGTGGATCCTTTTTCTGCCTCTTTGTCGCTGGCACTCCCTCCGCACCCCAGGTGTGTCTCTCTCAAGGGCTGGAGAGGCACTCCTTCGGAACGTCACCCTCGGGAAGGCAGGGGGCCCTGTCCCCGGTCTCCGTGGGCGGGCAGGGCTAAGCTCAGCCTGCGCCGGAGAGCAGGCGCAGGCGGCCGAATCACGGCGGCCACAGCCTCCGCACGTCCTGTCTAGCTCCGGCGGTCACAAAGCCTCCCTCCTTTTGCCCTGGGGGACTTGAGATCAACGTGCCCTGACGTCTCTGCCCCCGCTGCAGTGGCTGGAATAAAAGCTGTCACCCGGCCTTCACACAAGGGTCCAGCTCTTGTTTCTCCTCAATGCATCAACCCATTTCCCCCGTGAGGACACTGAGGCAGGGAGAGGTCAGGCATCCCCACGGTCACATGATCCTAATCCGTGGGTCTCACACCCCCTAAATCCCACGCTCGTGGCCACATCCCTCGCAGCCTCTGCAGCAGCTGCCAGTCCCCACGCGGCCGTGCAGGTGGGGTGTTTGCAGGTGTTGCAGGTGGTGCAGGTCTGCAGGACAAACCGGGCAGGCGGCCGTCCTCTCCGCCCAGCAAGTTTTTACGGGCACTTCCTTCCCTGCTAACGTGCGCTGGGAAACGGACGCAACCTGGCCCCAAACAAGGCGGCCCCCCGAAGGAGGCGGGGGGGCAGGGAGCGGACGGGCCCTCACCTTCACACGACCGGCCGTCCACCGAGAGCCGGAATCCCACGGAGCAGCTGCAGAGGTAGGAGCCTGGCGTGTTCTCGCACTTGTGGCCACACAGGCGGCCGGGGTAGCGCTGGCACTCGTTGACATCTGAAACCGAGGGGCAGGGCGGCTCGGAGCAACGTCCACTCGCCCCCCCGCCTCCTCCCTCCGCCTCAGTTCCCCGAGGACAGAGGCAAAGCCACCGTCCCGAGCACAGGGCAAGTCAGGGGGAGCTGGGACCACCCGGCTACACCCGCCTGTCCACTGGGCGAGCCTCGTGCTCCTTCCACGGTGGCTCATCTGGACACATGCCCTCCCGCCAGTCCGCGACCAGTGCCCACAAGGCGGGTCCACCAGGACCTGGCAGAGGTGAGGGCTGGAGGGGCAGCCACCAGCCTCCCCCGAGCACCTTGGCTCGGTGACGGCAGGCGTTGGCCGGTGGCGTCTGACCTCACCCCTGGTGGGTGGTCTGGCCCTCATGGCCCTGGGCTAAGGACACGTGACTGGCTGCCATGGGCCTGCAGGTCAGCAGTGAATCTCTGGGTGATCACTAACGCTTTGGGCATTTGTAGACCTGTCTCATCTTGGGTCAAGCGGAACACCTGTCCTGTTCGACAGGTGGGGAGGGCCTTGCCAGTGGCCGCCCCTGGGCAGCGGCAGAGCTTGCACCAGCACAGGGTCTCCCAGTTCGGGGTCCTCTCCCGGGTCTGCCTGCACTCGGGATTTTCTGAGATGAGGATGGGACCGTGGTCACTGCAAGTGCCACAGACTGTGTACTCTATGGTGCCACCTGGCCGGGCCCCCGAGGCCTGCAGGGACACCCACGTACCCACACACATCCTGCTGATGCCGTCGAAATAGTAGCCAGTCTTGCACTCGCAGCGGAAGCTGCCGGGGGAGTTCACACAGTGATGCCCCGTCCCACAGGGCTCCGAGGGGGGCGAACACTCATCCACGTCTTGCAAAGGAGAGAGAGAGAGAGACATGTTGAAAAACCTTCAGTGTGGTTCCTCCCCCCACCCCCAAGATGATCAGAAAGGAAGACAAGAAAGCAGCCCTCCTTGGGGAATGTACACTGATAAGCAGCATCCATGTCCTTCAACAGGACTTCACGGGGCACCTGCTACCTGCCGGGCCCCATGCTGGGGGGACAGCCCAGCCAGAGGCAGCCCCTGCCTGCAGGGAGACCAGCTCTGGCTGGCCAGCAACGAGCCTCCTGAAGGCAGGAAATGCCCAGTGACCTGGGAGATACCGAGAAAGTGTCCTGGGAGTCTCGGGAAGAAGCCCCTTCCCTGGCAGGGATCCGGGCAGGCCAGGTGCCCTGGACACAAAGGACTGTAGGGGCAGGTGCACAGAGGGAATGACACAAGAGCAAAAAACCACACAAGACAGGAAAGGGCCGTGTTTGTTCGGGGAGTGGCAAGACCTATTTCATGTGGATCATAAGGTCCGTGAAGTTGGGCTGGCTCAGGAGGGCTCAACTGTAAGCAGGGGCATCTGTCCTTTGTCACCATTGGGGAGCTGCTGCAGAACTGGGAGCAGGGAAGGGTGGCAGCGCTTTGGGCTCAGGACAACCTGGACAGGCTGAAGGAGGCGAGGCTGGTGCAGCGGAGAGGCTGGTGTTCTACTGCAATGGTCCAGGCAAGACCAGAAAGGCCTGTGCCTGGGATCGGCAACGGGATGGATGGAGCGGCAGAAACGCCTTCGCTTTAGGAATCAACTCTCCACTTCCAGGGAAGGGAGGGCGTGTGCTTGAAGCAGATAGAAAAGTTGTTTTCTTTTTTTCTCTTTTTTCTTTTTATCTTTTTATATACCCCAAGTGGATAAAGGATGTTTTCTTTTTTAATACCAACCAACACAGCGAGTTCCCTCCTCGTTGAGATGGTAGCCACGGCCACAGGTGGGCACGTTCTTCTGGCACGTGTAGGAGCCCTCCGTGTTGATGCATGTCTGCCCCACTGGGCACGGGGCACTGATACTCAAACACTCATTGATATCTACACGGGGAAAGACAGAGACGACGTGGTTAAACGTGGAGGCCGGCCCAGAACCCAATGATCAGACCTC